TCGGATATTAACGAATCGCATTTGCACGTTCGCTCGATAGCCGAGCGATTTAATAAACATTTTGATTAAAACTCGCGTTTAAATAAAAAGTATAATACAACGAAGAGGGGAGGAAAAAATAGGATGAAGATGAGTGGGAAAGTTAATGTTCGCTCGTTGGAACGAAATAACATAAACGATACTTTAACCAATTAAAAAATCATCGAAATATTTCTCCAATGGAATAACTCGGCTTCCCTACCGATATTCGAATCGTTGGAATCCGATTGAAATTTTTTGGCAAATATTTTCGCGTAATTCGTTTTCCACGATGGAAACGCGGCTGTGAATAAAATTGAAATCTACTAAGTAATCGTATATAATCATGTATACATGTATTAATATAAAAAGGATTGATCGAGCCATAAATTATGTTAACGATACATTGAACGTATTTTAATAATGGTAAAATTTTTTAACACTATGGAAACTTTAATTCTTTCCGATTTTGTAAAGACAACAAATAAAAAATAACTATAAGTATTACGGCTTTTAGCTTCGACAAGAAATAGAATAGAAATAGATAGAGTTCTAAGAAGCTTCTCTTAAAAATGTTCGAGTTTTCGAGAATTTTCCAACTATTTTTATAAACCAAATTTCAATTTCAATTTCGAGCCGTGTAAAATTTTAGTATCAAATGATCTCGTGAATATTCGTTCGTCACGCATGAAAATTTCATCGATTAACCGATCATAAAATTCGCATTCTCGTTCAAAATCTTCTTCAAACTTTAAAATTTTCCACGCTGTTCCCTCTCATCGTGTGTACGCGATGCCCTTACGTAAACGGCGCGAGGTGTTCCAGCGGAAATGAGGGGAACGAGAAGCGAAAAGAAATCGGACGGAAAAGTGGAGCGCGAAGGAGCCAGGCTTTTAAGGAACGTTCCCAACTCTCTTTCTCTCTCTCGATGGGAAATTGTCGAGGAGGAGGGAAGGAAGACAGACAGGCAGAGCCTCTCGATCACGACGCACCTGAGTGAACAGGTTACAGCAGGGGGATGAAAAAGGAATGAGAGAGAGAAAAAAAAAGAAGAGGAAAGAAATAAGAGAGTAAAGGCTGTCTTTCCCCGTTCTCAGATATTTAAATCCTGAGCCGAAATCTCGAAGACAAGATGGTGGGTGTTGGTCTGGAACTGGTGTATCTTGGAGGGAGGGGACGAGTTGAAAGCAAACCTTGGAGAGAGAGAGAGAAAAAGAGCAAAAAAAGAAACGAAAGGTGAGGGGGAATGGGATAGAAGGGTAGGCGGAAGATGGAAAGGAAGGTAGAGCTAGTTGTTCGAGCGTGACGTGTATTCTTGTACCGGGTGAAGCCGAAAGACGTAGCGCTCAGACTTTTGCCGGGGCCTTCTTCTTTGCGGACGAAGAAAGATGGCGGAGGCGAAGGGGAAGAAAGGGAAGAGGGAAGATTCAGGGAAAACGTGGTTCTTAATGGTGTGGGTGTGCCGACGAGCGAAGAGGAGTAAGTTTTAAAAACATCCCGCCCAATACGCCTCTGGTGCCGGTTTTATCGTTGCCCACCCCTACCACGTTACCACCAACGGTCTGTCTCTCGTGAACTCTCGTCGGCGAAACCTTTTCCGGCCCGGTACTCGAGATACTCGCGCTTCACGTACCGTCGCCTTGTAAATCCTGGCGAAAAGCATCTGCCTGGTATCAAGGAAACACGTCCGCATGAGCGACACATGAGCGATTTCTTAGAACCAGCGCGAGTAGAGGACATGCAATTTTATTACGATCCTCTTCGCCTCCCCTGCCGGCCGATATTTCGCCAGAAACGGGGACGGTTGTGAGGGAG